TTAAAGTTGCCCACTATTATTGTATTGGGGCCTATCTCTTTCTATGTTCAGTAATGTTTGTTTTATAAATCTGAGGGTGTTCTAATATTTAGTGCATTTATATTTACAACATTATATCTTCTTGATGGACAGTTTGCTTTGTCAAAATGGAATAACCTTCTTTGTCTCTTATTTTGACTTGAAGTCTGTTTTGCCAAATATGAGTACAACTAGTCTTTCTTGCTTTGTTTTCACTTATTTGAAACTTCACTTTCTATCACTTCTAGTATCTGTATGTCTGCCATTGAGGTAAGTTTCTTGCGTCCAGCAGATTGTCAGGTTCTGTTTTTGTTTTGTTTTTTTAATTTTTATTTAAACTCAATTAGGCAGTGTGCCTCTTTTAATTGAAGAATTAAGACCTTTTATATTCAGGATAATTATTGAACGGTATGGACAAATTCCTGTCATTTGTATTGGGGCCTATCTCTTTCTATGTTTTTCTTCTGGTTGTTTGGAACAACTTCCTTTATTCATCTTAGAGATCTAATGATCTAATAAGGTAATAATATTTTATTCTTTCCTAATTCTTATTAATTTTTCTACTCTTTTAAGAAGATGTATTCTTTCTCATGCTCTCATGATTGTGTTTATCTTGCTTCCTTCTTTTGTGTGTAGAATTCCTTTAAGTATTTTCTATAATTCTGGTTTAGTGGCCATGAATTCTTCTAGTTTATCTTGAAAAGACTTTATTTCTTCTTCAGTTGTGAAGGATAACATCGCTGGATATAGTAATCTAGAATTGCAGTTATTTCTTTCAGAGCTTGATATCTATCATTTCAGGCCCTCCAAATTTCTTTAGAGAAATCTGCTATTATTCTGATATGTTTGCCTTTGTAAGTATTTCTCTTCTGTAGCTTTCAATAGTTTTCCTTGTTCTATAATTTTGGAAGTTCAATAAATGTGGAGAAGTTCTTTTCCGGTCATGTGTGTTTGAAGTTCTAAATAACTCCTATACCTGGATGATCATATCTTTCCCAAGATTAGAGAATTTGCTATTATTTCACTAAATATCAAGGCTGTTCTTCTGTTCCTTCTTCTACATCATGATTTCACACCTGGCTTTTAATCATAAATAGGCCTTGTAGGTTTTGTTTATTCTTACTTTTCTTTTTATTTTTTACTTTCTAAATATGATAACTCTTCACCCAAGTCTTAAAGGCTTGATTTCTTTCTTCTTTTTGATCTACTCTTGGTGAGACTTTTCATTCGATTTACTGAGTTTTTCATCTATAAAATTTCTTTTTGGTTCTTTTTTAGAAGCTCTCTCCTTTACTAAACTGCTCTTTTCTATCCTGCATTGTTTCCCTTAAACCATCCAGCTTTTTATTAGTTTTCTCTTTGAATTAAATGATCATTTTTTGTATAATTACTTAAATTCTTTGTCTGGAATTTCATCCTGCTTTGGAATCAGATACTACTGAGTTGTGAACTTTTAAAGAAATCATGTTGCCTTGTTTTTTCATGTTTCTTGTATTTCTTACTGATATTTATGCATCTTTTAGGACACACACCTCTTCCAATTTTATATGAGTTCATTCTTAAGGAACAGTTTTCTCTCTTCTTTTCTCATGGACTCCTTAGTCCTCTTTTTAATAACTTCCTAGTGACTCAGACTGATCCACCAGTCAGGTTATAACAATAATCTTTATTATTTACAGTCAAATGATTAGGGGTTTTAGTTATATCTATAATATTTCTTCATCACAAAACCTAAGTTAATGTGTAAGTAAAGTTGGGACAGTAGCCTGCCCAAGTAGTCATATCAATAAAACCAGCCCAAGGGGCAACCCTGGGTTTTGTTCAGAAATGCCTTCACATCCTTTGTGTAATTAAAAGGTCTTTAAACTGGTATACGACTCTACATATTTTTTTTCTAAACATGTTATAGCTATCAGGCCAGGATCATCTATATTCATTGTTGTTGATTTGAAGTTAGTTTAGTCAGTACAGTTCTCCTTTGAAGGTAATCCTTTTTTCTCCTATCATTTTAAAAATTTCCCTCTTTAATATTTTGTAACTGAATATATTAGATTTCTTTTTCTTTGCTTGGTGTGGATATGTTGGACTTTTTAAATCCATAAAATGGAGTGTTTCACTGGTTCTAGTGAAGTCATTTCATTTATTTTCTCCCTTCTGTTTTTAGTCTTTACCTATTAGAACTGATTATATGAATTACTCTAGACTCTCCATGTCTATTATCTCACTATATTTTCTATTTCTTTGTCTCTGTACCAAATTCTGGATAATTTCTATTTCAGATAGATCTTCAACTCCTTAAATCTCTCTTCATTTAAGACAAATCTGCAATTAAACCCAACAATTTCCTTTAATTTCAATTATTATATGCTTCACTAATTATTTGCTGTATTCTTAACACTGGTTTTATATCCTTTAAAGTTGTTTCTCAACAACTTTATTAAAGCTTGATTTTTTTCTCTCAACATCTTAAACATGGCTATGTCATATTCTATTTCTGATAATTCCAGTATCTGAAGTCTTGGTCAGTTTCTGTTACTTTTAATATTACTCATGATTTGATTCCCTGTATGTTTAATGATTTTTAATAGTGAAAATTCTTTTGAAATTTTAGTCTCCTTTCAGATACCCAGGAAATAAATGAAAAGAAAAGGTACCTTTATTTCCTGTTTACTTTTACATGAAGTCCTCCCAGATTTTTGGAATTAAGTTCTCCTATTATATTTCTTACCCAGAAAAAGTGACCCATGAGCTCTCTCTCCTGTGCCTCCTTTGGACAAAATATTTTAACTCCTACATTTTAAATTGCTTGGGTAAACAGGTTATTTCTCAACCTACTCTGACATATTACCAGAAATAAAAATTCACTCTAATTCTTTCTTTAAAACTGTATGTTGCTCTCCTGGGTTCAAGTTCTATCAAACTGGAAGCATTAACATGCTAAAAGAGACACCGATTCTAGATCTACCATGGATCATAAAATCATTGTTATAGATAGTAATCACTTGTACTTAGTAAATTTTTATATTCCTTCAGCCATTTCTAAGTATAATCTTTGAAGGTCCATCTGTGTTGATACATTTTTACCAACTGACTTTTCTTTTAGAAAAGTTTGTAAAACTCTGTCAACAAGACTCTTTTAAATACTTTCAAGGCTATCTTTAAGAATTACTTTCTTAAGATTCATAAAATGATATCAACTTCTAAAAATGGTACATTTGTTTATGCAAAACTATTCAAGTTGTCCACAAAATGGATTTTACTTTCATTGATGATTTTCATTTTTTAGATTTAGCCTTTTCATTTTACTAATTTAAAAATAATCCCACATAGACTTGGATTATGTTATTGTATTTCCTCTAAGAATGAGAAGGACAATAAATCTTACTGAGCATCTGCAAGGTGTCATCCACTATGCTGAGTGTATATATAAGCACACATAAATTTTATCATAACCCTGTTAGGTAGGTGGCAATATTTGTATTTTAAAGGAAAATAAACATGCACTTATGTGCAATGATCTTTAAGTGAAAATTATCTAACCCAACTCTACATGATTCTTAAAAGTGCTTTTGAAAAATTACTATGCAATAAAATTTACCATGCTTTATTAACTTGTTAAGTGGTAATAATCCAGTTACAGAATCTCTACTCAAAAGTAGCAAGTTATATATTCTACCAACCCATTCAATCCTTGACCCATTTAACAATTTGATCTTCACTACTCATTCTTGATAATAGAAAGTTGTATCTCTTCTTGATACAAAAATGGGCACATTAATATTTAATTCAACAAGCCCATACTGGATGACTAACTTGGGAATACACTGTACTATATTCTTCAGCACTTATAAAGCACTATTATTTGATCCTCCTTATAACCCTAGGAAGTAATTCACTATATGCTTGGATACATCTAGGTATAGGGAACTCCAAAGTATACAACTATATCTTTGGAAAATAACAAGACATCTCTGGTCCTGAAATACATGATCCTAAAAGTTTATATATAGAAAGCCTTTCCTTTATATATTAAAAGACAGTTATATTACCTGAATACTTTCAAATCTCAGATTATTTTTTAAAATTTCCCTAGACTATAGATAATATATTAATTTGTTGCCATGCTGATTTCTTTATTGACTTATTTTGAAGAATATTTTAAGTTATAAGTAATTTCCCCCCCAAGAGTCTAAATAAATTACTATTAGGGTCATCAGCTCCTCCAAGGCATTACATATTTTTATCCTGCTTGAGCACTATTTGACATACTACTGTTCTTCATTAACATTAAATTCACAACATCAATGTTACTCTTAAAATTGTCATTTCAAAGAAGAAATGCAAATTTTAAGGACTTAAATTATGTAAACCAAAACTAAGACAACACAGCTTAAGAGTCTTGCTATGACTGTATAATGAGATGAAAGAACTAGTATACCAAAATTTCTGAATTCCGATGTCAAGCTACAACTTTTTTGAAATGGAAATTATATTTTCTGAACTGAAAATCAGGACATATGGTATAACCATAATTTTCCCTTAAATTTTAAATTCATAATTATGAAAAGTCTTTTACAAAGCTTAAAAGGTTAGTTAAATATTCATTTTGTAAATTATTTTATAAACTAGATAACACTGGGACTATCCTAGTTATTTTTTACCATATCAATCTACCATTCCAAAATAACTCCTCCTCACATTCCCTGCTTAACAACTACTCATGTTGTGTTTTCTTTTGTGGAGATATGCACCTCCTCAGTGAAACCTGGAGCTTAGCAATTTTTTCATTAGTTCCTTTTAATAGCAAAGTTATTACATAATATTTCTGGACTGCTAGGTCATAGCTAGCTACTGAGTTTTAAAAAATCATAAAATGCTAGAAAAGACTTTACTCAGGATTAGGACACAGTTTCAGGATGATGAAAATGTGCAAAAATGACAATGTTCTGTTACAGACTAAAAATGTGTAGATCCACTCTTACCTGCTTAAAAAGTTGAAGGTTAACAGCAGTTTCCAAGAACTGTTTCATCACACTTGAGCGATGCTTTACAAAACTTTCCTCACAGAAAGTGACAGGCTCACCCTAGATAGAAATGAAGATTTTCAGGGCATCAATATAAAAGCAGTTAAAGAACCAGTCTCTTTTAGGAGGTACATGGAGAGTCATAGAGTATATGATAGGGAATCAACAAATAGACCCTGATACATAATAGCTGGATTTCAGGCAAGCCGAAATGTTCCAGTACTAAAAATCCTCTAAAATACCTTACTATTCAAGAATTCTTTGGACTCTGAAAACTGGTCAATTTCACTGCCTCAAAGTAGGAGTAAATTTCCTAAAACTAAATTAACACTGTTATACTTAAGTATGAGAATATAAATAGTATGTGTACTTGAAAACATCCAACAATTTTATTTTCATCCTGATTAGAAAATATCTTAACAATATTTAATAATATATAATTTGTATACTTATATAATAATACATAATAACATGTATACTTATATAATATAATATGTATACTTATATAATGACAATTATTACATGATTTTTGCTGTTTCCAATAGTTGTTATAAAATTAATTTGTTTTGAAATCAATGAAATGCTTACAATCACCTTATCTTCATAATTGCAAATATAATTCTGATTGGATATATTTTAGGATAAATTCCACTTGGCATCTGATTTTACTTATCCTAAGTACTAAGTAATCATATCTCTAGAACCATCTTGTGATAGCTGTACCAGATGCTTCCTCTTCAAATGAACAAGGACTTTAATTTCAAGTCCTACAGACTCCACTTGTTCCACTTATTCTTATTTGACTGCAAAATATCTGTCATCATTCAGTGGCTGATCCCTACCACCTGCTATTCCCCTCATAAACCTAAATGCCACCCCCTGCCCACTTAACACAAATAAATAAACATAAGTGACTGAACTTTATGATCAAAATAAAAACAGAGACTAAGGACAATGACTCTTTCATTACAATGAATCGTGTTAGCAATTCTCATGTTGTCCTTGATAACTTGAAAGAATAAAAGGATGTTCAGAAACAAACAAAAAAAAACTGGGAAATAACTCTATATAGGAATAGGTGAGATTTCTAATTGAGGGCAATAAAATGGTATCATTTATCAAATACTGCAAATACAGAAAGAAAATGTATTTAAGGAGAAGTTGATGAAATAAATTTGGATGTGCATCTTAAATCGTATTCTCAGCTGAGGCCCAGATAGGGATTGTTGTTCAAATAATTTGTTGGAGGATTACTCTTGAGAAAAGATACTAGAGGAAATAAGGAAAGGAGAAAAAAAGCCAAGCAAGAATGGGATCAGATTCATAAATCAGCTTCTACCTAATTACACAGGGGAAAGCACTAATTAAACACAGAATTGATCCCAACTTCTTATACTGCATGTATCATTGGCTTGCTCTCCTCTTGTGGAGGGGAGTAATAGGGGAGAGCACATTCTCTCCCTGGAAAGGTACCTCCTATTTAGCCAAAGAAATTTTTCACTGAAAGGATCACCAGCCAGTACAGGAGGTCTAGGCAGTGAACCAACAGTGTCTGCTATAGTCCGGTGAAGGCAAAGTGCTCAAGAAGAACATGGAAATGTCTGTAATTTGATATACTTAAGAATTATCTATTCAGAATTGTGTATTAAAGTTAGGCTTACCACCCACTATAAAAAAGGGTTCATGCAATTAAGAAATATCTATCTGCTATCTAATCTGTTGTTTAATGCTATATTGTTCATTCACAGAAACAGTAAATAAACATATGATTCTGTGGCAACAAAGAGTAATGAGGTAGAAACATAAACCAAAAGGAAAACTCTTCATGTGACAATTTCAACATAATAACAAAAATAACTGAATTGTGTTCTTCAGGACAGTGATGAGGCAATAGAAAGGAACCCAAACTAGAATCATTTTGATGGAAATGTCAAATGAAGGAGCATAAATAAAAGTATATCAGGAAAACATAACCTGAACTAGAACAAGAATGAAATTCATATTACAGAGAGGAGAACAAACTTTCTAGAAAGGAAGTACCAACATTACTTGCCATTATATTTAAAGAAGAAACAATAATATATTAGATACTATATTAAGAAGCTTTCTAGGTAGTTTGTTATTGATAATAGTAAAAAACATCAATGTTCATACTTGATTCACTTTTTAAAACATAATCAGAGCAGATTCAAGATTATTCAGTATAATGTGACTGAGTCACTTGCATAGTGACTAATGAATAGGAAGGAAAAAGGTATCATTAGAGCCATGTGCTATGAAGTGCATGCCCCTCCTTACCTGATCTTATCTAACTTGACCTATCAACTGCTTGCTGCAGAAAAAAATTATTTAGAACTACCCCCTGGAGGCATAAATCTGCTCCATATGGAACACATGATTTATCTCACTAAGTGTTGAATTTTCTTTAATAGAAAAAAGTAACTTTTCCTTCTTCTGAACAATCACTGCCTTTTTACAGCATCTCTTTGGTGATTCTTCTCTGTTTTGAAAAGTTATCCTTAAGTCTTACCTATAAACTCTGGAAATCTGAAACTAAATTCTGGAACTAAACTCTGGAGAATAAAGTTTCATAAGATGATATCTTATGCCATAAGATGTGTAGGACTTAGTAGGAGTTTGCAGGTGAAGGTATCAGGAAAAAAAATTATACTGTACAAAAATGTGAAATGTAATCTAAAATATCAGTATTTTACTCATGAAGTTCCTTAATGCACTGGGACCTAATATGTAATGTCACCATTATATAAGGAGAATAAACAAACTAAGCAAAAATGTCTGCTTACTGATAGTTTATTTAAATTTTATAATCTCTGAAAGATTCTGCTAGGTCTCTCCTGGGAATATTCAAATATTTGCAGGTTCTCAGAGGAAATGATAATAAATGATTTTCAGATTATATAGCATTTTTCTTTCAAAAATCCCAATGTTATTTTTGTGTAAGGAATAGCAAGTTTACTTTCAGAATTTATTAACCATGAAAAAATAAATTTCCCCCAGTGCTGATATATCAACACACAAATCAACAAAAAAAGAAGCCTTATATTCAAACTGTAACATTTTAATCATTAATAGTAAAATCTTCTTTTTGTATATATTATACCAGTTTATGCCAAGGCTACTGACAGGATGTGTCTTGAAAAAATACACCTACCTACCAATGTTTCATTTGGCTATGATTCAGCAACTTAAAATGGAAAGAGACACTGAGTTTTCTAAATTAGATTTAGCATTTTGGTTAAATTTGAAAAATTAGATAATATTAATAGATTATGCATTAATTTGCTACATATTGCAAAAATAAATTTTCTTTACCACAATTTAAAAAAATAACAAGATAATCACCACTCTTATGAAATATTTTACAAGTGATATAAAAATGGAAACTTTATTATCAAAAGCAAAGTCTTACCTGTCCCATAGTAGTTGGAGAAAATTTTTACATTTTTGCTGAAGCAATTAATAGAAATTTCCTCCACATTTATTAAAAGAGAGCAGAAAGAACTGCTAGATACAATCCAAACATTTCTTTAGCAGAAACCATTTCTAAAGTCAAAAGGTCCATCAATACTCAAACATGGTTAATGAGATGAATGAATACCTAAGCATGTTTTAGGAACCACAAAACTGTGAGGGATGAGTAAATGGTACTTTTCAACCAAGATTATAAAAACCAGAAGAGTTCACTATTACAAATTTCATAAATGGAAATCTTAAAACAAAGGTTTAATAAGTAGTATCTTAAATTATAGATGCCATCCCTGTGTATAAATGACTTATTCTGAATCACTAAATTCAACAACTTTACTAAGTGATAATGTTTTAAAGGAATATAATCCAAAAAATATTTGAATGGCAACTCTTCCAACTAATCAAAGTAAGGCCCAGGTTCCTAAGCAATCTTCATTTTAAAAGTAATTTACTTTTGATACATTAGCAATGCTTAAGGCAACTCAGAAAAGCTTGATTAACTTTTAACAAATGACAGAACCTTACATATTCAAAGGAATAAACTATGTTCTTAGGATAATCAGATTTTGTCCCTTAATTTACTAAGCAAACATTTCTTCAGCATTAGTTGTTGGTCAAAATTGTGACTTTTATTTTTAACAGCTTTTGACACAGTGACATACAAAGGTACAATTAAAGACCCTTTATTGTTATCTAAAATAGCAACTATAAATACTGTCATGTTTATGACAATGTTTTCCTTTTGGAGATTAGAGGTGAGTACTTTTCCTTGATTAAAGGAATTTTTATCATATATTACTTCTAAAATTTAATTTTTAATAATAGCTAGCTGCTATTATCTGGATCTTAAGTGTCTTCCAAAGGTCCATATTTTAAAAGCTTGCTCTCCAGGGTTGTGCTATTGGAAAATGGTGCAGCCTTGAGGAGGTTAGACCTTGGAGGGATTAATAGGTCATTAGAAGCATGACCTCAAAGGGGACTGTGGGACCTTGATCCCTTCCTGTGTCCCACTTTCATTTCCTGGCTCATGATGCAAGGTGGTTTACTCTGCCAAGTACCTAATTCATACAATAAGTTAGCACATGCATTTGGTATTTACATGGGAATACACAAATCATCTGGGAGAGCTTTACTTCCCAATTACATCTGACTGGTTCTTCAGTACTACTGCCTTCTTCAAAGTCACTCAGTTCTGAGCCTTCTGGCCAACCTTGATGCTCCTTACTGAGTCCTTTCTTCTCTGTGAAGAAACAGCCTCACTTGCCTCCCTACCTTCAGTCCTTATAATACACAATTCTGAGCACTTCATTCCCATGATTAAAAAAAAAATATTTAAACACTGTATGTTAACTATGTTGATTCAGAAAAGTAATTTATGACTGGTTTTGCCAATTCTACATGAGTGAATCTTAACCTGTTCGGTTTTTTTGTTTTTTGAGGAGATGGTAAAAGCTATTATTTTACCTAGAAAAATGATGCATATATTCAATAGGTGTCTTACACATTTCTTCTGTTTCCTATAGATTCATTTCCATAATTCTCTTTTATAATTTTCTTTATATTACTGTAGA